GGTGGTGCCAGCGGTGGTGTCAGCGGTGGTGTCGGTGGCTCTGTTGGCGGTGGTGCTGGTGCCGGTGCCGGTGTTGGTGGCGGTGCTAAGGGAGGAGCTGGCGCCGGTGTTGGTGGCTCTGTCGGCGGCGGTGCTGGTGTTGGTGGCGGTGCTAAGGGAGGTGCTGGAGCTGGTGCCGGTGCCGGTGCTGGTGGCAGCACTGGAGGAAGCACTGGTGGTTCTTACACCAGCTACTAAAACGCTGATCAGGATTCACGACGGGTATTTCGGCTTAATACTGAGGTTTTCCTAGTACATATTTGACACGAGGCATAATAATATCACTTTCCTTCTTCAAAAGTTGTTTCCCATCAAAGTGGTGTGTGTAGTGACTTCATTCCATCTTCTTGTCTTGCCCCTTTCCTGCTTACAAAATCTCCAACACTGGATCAAAATGTAAGATGAAGACAGACTACTAAACCAGGACTTCATTTAGTCTAGGAAACAATCTTTTTTTCTCTCTGGTCAAACTCTATGTTTTTCGTTTTGCGTGAGCCTTTAAGATATAACCTCCGAAATCTCCACCATGGTCGTGACTTTACATGATTTTCATATATCATAGGTGAAGATGCAAAGAACAAACAATGCATGCCAAAACGCCAGCCTATTTCCAATGCAATTGAACCCATTTACCCTTGTCTTATCCGACCCATCGCCTAGCACTCTTGAACATGCGAGACCAGGGTCCGAGTTCGCCCCATTCCTCTGTGTTCTTGGGGAGATAGCTAGCCACTTCCTTCAAGATAGTTCGCTCGGGGTGTGGCATGAGCGCCAGCACGCGTCCGTCGGCGCTTCGTACACCGGTGATACCCATTGGTGAGCCGTTGGGGTTGTAAGGGTACGTTTCGGTTTGCTTGCCGTAGTTGTCGACATAGCGGAGAGAGACGAGGTTCTCGTTGTACAACGTTTGAGGTGTGGATGCTGAAGACGCCGAGGAGGAGAATTGAGCGCGGCCCTCGCCATGGGCTGTGACGATGGGGAGCTTAGAACCTGCCATACCGTGGAGGAAGACGGATGGTGGCGTGTTAGTACCCTTGGGGTCGAGCACTTCGACCATGCAGACACGTGCTTCATATTGCTCGGATGCGTTGCGCTCGAAGCTTGGCCATAGCTCTGCACCTGGGATCAATTCCTTGAGTTTGCTCATGAACTGGCAGCCGTTACAGACGCCGAGGGCAAAGGTGTTAGGGCGCGTGAAGAAGTCCTGGAACTCCTTGCGTGTTTCGGGATGGAGGAGTACAGATTTTGCCCATCCTTGTCCAGCACCGAGTACGTCGCCATACGAGAAACCACCACATGCCGCCAGACCTACGAAGCCGGCCAGTGATACACGACCCGAGATGATATCAGTCATATGTACATCGATAGCCGAGAAGCCAGCTTGATGGAAAGCAAATGCCATCTCAGCTTGGCCGTTCACACCCTCTTCTCTTAGGATGGCCACACGAGGCTTAGCCGTAAAAGGCGACTTCAGATTGGACATGAGAGGCATGATATTCTCAGAAGGCTTGAAGGTCAGGTTGTATGAAAGACCTGGGTCCTTGTCGTCGAGAATGCTGTTGAACTCTGCATCGGCACAGACAGGGTTATCACGGAGCTTCTGCATACGGTATGAAGTCTCTGCCCAACGCTGTTGCAGCTTTTGCCGGCTGTTTCGGTAGACGTTCTTTGTCCCAACATAGAAAGAGATGTCCTGCTTCGAGGCCTCGGGCACCCGACCTATCTTCTTGATCATGCCTGGTGGTGGTCCACAGGTAGCAAAGCAGCGATTGAAAGCAGTCTCATCCTTCTTCCTGACCTGGAAGACAGCACCAAGTTCTTCATTGAAAAGCGCCTCCAAGACGTCCTTGGGTTCGCTCGATGCCGCGACACGGTCCAGCATGATTTCAAGGCCACACCGTCCGGCAAAAGCCATTTCGACAAGCGTCGTGAAGAGACCACCATCTGATCTGTCGTGATAAGCGAGTACAATACCAGACTCATGAAGTTGGTCGATGGCATCAAAGTAGTCCTTGATGACATCGGCGTCATAGACATCAGGTGCCTCATCGCCGACCTGGCCGAACGTTTGAGCCAAAGCAGAACCACCGAGATGTTTCCTGCCAGCCGCCAAATCAACATACATGAGAATAGTCTCACCAACGCTCTCAACACGTTCCAATGCGGGTGTCCATGTGCGGTCGATCCGATCAACAGGTGCAAAAGCCGTGATCACCAAGGACATTGGTGCGGTAACTTCCTTTGCCTCTCCACCCTCTGACCACTTCATCTTCATACTCATAGAGTCCTTTCCAACTGGGATGGATATGCCGAGTTTGGGGCAGAGATCCATTCCAATGGCTTCAACTGCCTCATACAAAGCCGCACCCTCACCTGGATGACTGCTAGCCGACATCCAGTTGGCCGAGAGTCTGACCCTAGATAGCCTGTCGAAGAGACTAGCTGCAGCAATGTTCATGAGCGACTCGGCTACAGCCATTCTTGCGGATGCTACTGGGGAAATGAGAGCTAGAGTAGGCTTCTCACCCATTGTCATGGCTTCACCCGTCTTGACTCCAGCCAGCAGCGATGTAGCTGTTACCGAAACATCAGCCACAGGCGTTTGCCACTTGCCAACCATCTGGTCGCGGACCGTAAGGCCGCCAACTGTTCGGTCTCCGATGGTTATGAGGAATGACTTTGAGCCTACAGCTGGAAGGGTGAGCACTCGGTCGACAGCTTCGCTGATCAGGCCATCTTTGGGCGTGTCAGGAATGTACATTGACAGGCTGCTGTCGAAGGCTGGCAACCTCAGCTTTCGGCTTTCGACGATACGTGACATCTTGGGTGGCTTTCCGAATAGCGTGGCCATGGGAAGATCAATGGGAGTCGGGTTTTCCTTGGAGTCCCTGTCTTTCAGGACAAGGCGTTGCTCCTTGGTAGCCGTACCGACGACCGAATAACCACAGCGTTCTCGGTTGCAGATGCGCTTAAAGAGGTCTAGTTGATCGGGAGCAACTGCTAGTACGTATCGCTCTTGGGCCTCGCAGCACCAAATCTGCAGCGGGCTCATGCTCTTATCAGCACTGTCTACTTCGCGCAACTCAAAGATAGCACCGAGACCAGAGTCGTGAACAAGCTCGGGGAGAGCATTGGACAGACCACCGGCGCCCACATCGTGGATGAAGAGGATGGGGTTCTTGTCACCCATGGAGCGGCATGTATCAATGACTTCCTGTGCTCGCCTCTGGACTTCGGGGTTACCTCTCTGCACACTAGCAAAATCAAGGTCGACCTTGCCTTCCCCAGACTGGATACTAGAAGCCGCACCACCACCAAGACCAATGAGCATGGCGGGACCACCAATGACGAGGAGATGCGAGCCAGCGGGTACGACGTCCGGGTCCTTGAGTGCGTGCTGCGGCCTGACTGTGCCTACACCACCTGCTAGCATGATAGGCTTGTGGTATCCTCGGATCTCAGACTCCTTTTCGTTTGTAAAGACGCGCATGAGCATAGTGCGGAAGTAGCCAACAGTGCATGGACGACCAAATTCGTTGTTGAATTGTGCACTGCCGATTGGGGCCTCGAGCATAATGTCACGGCTGCTAGCAATGTGCGCAGGCTTTCCAACGTCTTTGAGCTCCCATGGCCTTTCAAATCCCTCAAGGTTGAGATCGGAGACAGTAAAGCCTGCCAGACCCGCCTTTGGCTTTGAGCCACGGCCAACCGCTCCTTCATCTCTAATCTCGCCTCCAGAGCCGGTGGCGGCTCCAGGAAATGGCGATACTGCAGTTGGGTGGTTGTGTGTCTCGACTTTGCAGAGAATGTGCACAGTTTCTTTTGCGCCATTCCATTCGCCAGTGAGGTCGTTGGGGGCCCAGAAGCTCGCCTCCTCGCCCTGCAGCACTGCAGCGTTATCGCTGTATGCACTGACGACGTGCTGAGGGTTCTTCTGGTGCGTGTTTCGGATCATTCCAAATAATGACATGGACTTGCGCATGCCGTCGACGGTGAAGTCGGCATTGAATTGCTTGTGTCTGCAATGCTCCGAGTTGACCTGGGCAAACATGAAGAGCTCAACATCTACGGGGCCTCGCTTCAACTCCTGAGTGTATGCCTCGACGAGGTAGTCGATCTCTGACTTGTCCATGGCCAGGCCCAGCTCTCTGTTGGCATGGTCCAGGGCGGCATGGGCGCTATTGTACTCGTCGAAGCTGATGGTGGTCGCTTGCGCAGGCTCTCCCTCGCCGAATATAGCCTCGAGATTGGGTGCAGTGCGGCTGATGGTCTGGGTCATGCGGTCGTAGAGATGGTCGCGGTTGGGGATCTCGTCGGCGTCGAGGGTGCGATCAAAAGTGGCGGCGATGACCATGCCACGCTCGATGCGCTTTACCGCCTGGTCGAGTGTGCATGTTCGCGCAATCATCGAGGCCAGAGAGCTCCATGGTGAGATTGTGCCGGCGCGTGGAGAGACGTAGAAGAGAACCGTCTCGCCGTCACGCGGCTCGCCGCCACGGTGGACGGCATCGAGGAGCGTCTGTGCAAGGCGGTCGTTCGAGTCTGGATACTCGCCATAGTGCAGGATTTGCTGCAGCGTCTTGAGCTCGTCATCGGCCAATTCCTTGAGCGGATTGACAAAATGCAGCCACAGCGAGCGGACCTGCTTTGCACCGATTGCCTGCGCCAGGCGCTGCAGGCGGAAGTCGGAGTGGGCAGCCGAGCCTGGAAGAATGAGGTATGGATCCTCGGTCGACGCCATCGTATGTGCCACCTAATTGAAAGTGTAGAGTGGGAATCGCGGGGTGTCCGAAGACAAAAGCGAGGGTGGGCGCGTCGTCACATGGCGGGGTGAGAGTCTTCCCAAAAATTTCGGCGGGGCAAAATCGAATCGACGCCATTGGACTGCCCCGCCCGCATGTCGGAGAGATGGACACAGCCATGATGGCACTAGTAGCAGCCCCGATGTTTTCCCCGGCATGCATGGAATGCTGTTTTGCATGTACTTACAACGTATGGCATTCTTAGAAGCTGTCTACTCGCACCCCTACCCCCTTCTCCCCTGACAGCTCCAGCAGGGCCTTGCCAATGGCAATGTCCATAACCCCCACGCCCACGCTCTTGTATACCACAAACCCTTGTTCCAGCCACCTTTTGGCCCCATTGTCTTGTCTCAGCCCGTCCATCTTTCCTACCTCTATCATTCTCTCCGTAGCAATGCCTGCTTTGACCAGCTCTCCGGCTTCGTCCATGCATCCCTTGATGCTGTCGACAGCGATGCACGCGTCGTGAACTTGCGAGGCAAAGAGGCTACGCGGAG